AGGAGTCCTGGACCTCCTCATGGCCACAGTGGTGGTGGCAGTGCCAGCCCACCGGTGGGGCTAATAACGTTCTAGGCTGCTGGGGAGAAGGGCGGGTGGCAGGTGCACACTGGCCTCTTCTCAAACGTTAGTGACAGGACGTCCTGGGGGCTGCCAGCTCCTGTCTGCTCCCCTGGCCTCATCCTGCCAGGGTGCCCATCTGTGCCCCTCCAGGCTCCTGCAGCCCCTTCCCAGAGTTCTTCCTCTGAGGAGAGCAGCAAGTTAAGTCAGGCAGAGGGGCCGCAATGGGGGGTATTAGCCTTGTACAGCTAGCTGTTCCCATTCCAGACAGTGGAGCCAGGCCAGCCTGGGAAGTGGGGCCCCCACTCCTTGGGGGACAGGGCAGTCTATAGTAATTCTAGGGCAGTGGGTCTCATCCAGGGTGATTCTGCCCCCAGGGGACACTTGGAGATGACTGGGGACATGGTGGTTGTCATGACTTGGCGGGGTTGCTCTTGGTATCAAATGGATGGAGGCTAGGGGTGCTGCCCACCACCCTGCATGCACGGAGTGACCCCACTCCAGAGAAGGGTCCGAACCTCGTCAGCAGGGCCAGGGGAGGGGCCCTGAGATGAGGACGGGCTTCAGGTGTCCCCGCCGTCCTCCACAGTGTGCAAGTCCTAGCTCCTGTGTGAGCCCCAGGCCCTGTGAGTGACGTCCCTCCCCCATTCGGCTCTCCAGCCCCTCCCCCTGCACGTCTCCTCAGCCCAGCTGGGCATAGTGACTAAGCCCCTTCCTGGCCAGGATTTCTAGAACATTCCACCATGGTGGCAGCACCTCCTTGGTGACTTAATGTTTCCTGCTTCCTCCTCCCAGGCCCCATTGATGACTGGACAGCTGGGCCCAGGCCATGGGAAGAAGCTGGGCCATCGGGGCGTGGACGCATCTGGGGAAACCACCTACAAGAAGGTTCCTTGTGTGCTCTTAGTCCCACCAGGGGCAGGGCAGGGGAGGGGAGGGTGAGGGGCTGGGGGGAGGGCAGGAGACAGGAGGTAGGGAGGGGTGGGTGGGATGGGGAGGACCTGGCTTGGCCCCTCCTCTAAGCCCAAGTATCTCCCTCAGGTGTCTCCTCTCACACATGTGTGTACACGGGCCCCTCAGGCCTCTCCTCACACACACATGTGCACATGTCCCTCAGGTCTCCCCTCACACGCTCATACACGGGTCCCTCAGGTCTCCCCTCACACGCTCATACACAGGTCCCTCAGGTCTCCCCTCACACGCTCATACACGGGTCCCTCAGGTCTCCACTCACATGCATGAACACAGGTCCCTCAGGTGTCTCCTCACGTGTGTACATGAGTCCCTGAGGTGTTTCCCCTCACACATGCACATGTACATGGGTCCCTCTGGTGTCTCCACACACATGCGTGTGCCCAGGTCCCTCAGGCGGCTCCCTACACATGCATATTCATGGGCCCATAAACAGTGGAGGTGATGCTCTCTGTAGGGACAGAGCCCTCAGACCCTGGCTGCTGCCCCTGCTGTGCTTCTGCCTTGGCTGGGCTCCCCCTGTTGGCCAGCCTCCCTCCCTCAGCAGGACCTCAGTCCCCAGACAAGCTCCACCCTTCAGCCACACTCCACCCCTCCCAGGGCTCTGCCCTTCCTGGACTGTGGCACTGCTTCCTGACCTTGAGTTCCTGTGACCTTGGACAGACGTGTCCCCTTCCCAAGCCCCAGTGCCTAATCTAGGGAATGAGGAACTGTTAGGACCCTGGCTCTTATCCCCACTCTCTCCCCGTGCCAAGGGGGCTTGTCATCTCGGCTCCCCTTCTGGGGCCGGGGGGGCCGGGGCAAGGTTTGGCAGGGAGGTGTCTTGATGCAACTGCCTCTCTCCACAGACCACCTCCTCCACCCTGAAGGGGGCCATCCAGCTGGGCATCGGCTACACCGTGGGCAACCTGAGCTCCAAGCCGGAGCGTGACGTGCTCATGCAGGACTTCTACGTGGTGGAGAGCATCTTCTTCCCCAGGTGCGCCCTGTGCTCACCCGTGCAAGGCTCCGCACAGACAGACAGACCCTGTTCTGATACCCAGCAGCCTTTGCTTTTCTCGGAACTCCCCTGCTGAAAATAGCACCAGCCCTCCCTAGTGTGTCCTTGCCTTTGAGTTTAGACCTTGGATTAGTCAGGATGTGAGTGGCTGCTGAATCAGAGACCCAGTGTAAGCAGTTTCCGCAAGCTAGAAATGCACTTGTCTGTCAGTAAAAGCACGAGCAGGCGGTCTGGGGCTGGGAGGGTTTTTTGGGGTACCCGGTTCCCTCTGGATACCCTTCTAACTTCAATATGTACTTTATCTCACTGGTGGTCCAGGAGGCTGCCCAGGCTCCTGCCATCACGGCAGCATTCCAGCACCTGGAAGGGAGAAGGGCGCACATGCCACTTTCTTTAACCAGAAAATCGCACACACGGGTGCAAAAAGGGCAAGGAGGCCACATCTCCCGACTTCCTCTAAACCTACAAGAGGAAGACAGGATTACCAGTAGTAACCCAAGGCCTATTTCTGCCAGGCCAGACATGCTGCCTCCCCCCAGCCCTTTCTCCAACCGTTCCTCCCAAAGCACCCACCACCTCTCTCCTGGGTTCGATAATTCGCTGCAGTGGCCACACAGAGCTCACAGATTATGGGGTTTATTAGGGAAGCACCAGGCTACAATTCAAGTTCAGGAAAAATGCTCAGTCTCTCTCCCAGCCCACCTTCCCTCAGCCAACAGTCTCTCACAGTCTCTTTCCCAGCAGTGCTGGTCCCTCGGTGTCTCACTCAGCAATGAGTGTCTCTTGAGTCTCTTTCCCAGCAGCATGTGTCTCGTTCAGGAGCGCGTGTCTCTTTCGGCAGCACGTCTTCCTCCACCAGCATTCAGAGAGAGTTCTGCCTCCAGGAGGCCTCCTTTTGAGCCCAGCAGGGTGGTCAAACTAGCCAATCACAGCATCAGAACTCTAAGCACTTGAGAGAGAGTGGGCACCTCCCAGAACATTGTATTGTGCCACTCCCAACAGAAATACTCCAGGTGGACAACTTCAGCAATCAGGAGCTCCTCAGTTGCTCATAGAAAATCCCACCTTGGAGTTTACAAAGACTTATGGGTAGAAAAGCCATAGTAAGTAATTTACTATACCGCAGGCCACCCCCTGGCTTTTCTAGCCATTATCCCTTTTATGCTTCAAAAATTCACATCCCCTTCACCATCAGTTTAAGAATAACCACACCCGTGAAAGCGTGTAAGCCAGCCACTTCATGCATTTATCTCCCCCCATTTTAAATTTCTAATTTGCCTGTCCCTATTCAAACCAGTACTCTAAGGAGACATGGTCCTTTCTGGAGAATCTTCTGTTCTGCTTGGAAACTTCAGGCATCTGGATTCATAAACAAGCAAAGTCCAGCCCAGCACAAACCATCAAATTGCAGCAACTTAACACCAGCTCAGTGTCAAACATCTTCTTCTTCGTTTGGTTGGGTTCTGGTCAGCTCAGCCCTAGCCATCCCAGCTAGGTCATGGGTACCA